TTGGGTGACTCAGCCTAATACTAGTACAGTGTATGCTACACCTGTATCAACTTATCCTAGACCAGATCTAGACTCTCTAGAGATGGCTGGACGAAGTGTCCGACCTAAGGACCGTCCAGACCATGTTAATTTCCCTACTCCTCCACTACCCACTGGTCCTATCTCTCAGGAACAGTTTGAGAGGTTTGAACGCCTCCTTATGTTGCAGACTGCACAAATAGAGGCACCATCCCCTACCATCCCCTACCATCCCCCTACCACCCCCTACCACCCCCCTAAAATCCCCTTCCACCCCCTACCACCCCCTAAACCATCCCCTAACCAACAACCCCCCAACCACCCCTACCATCCTCCATCCCAATCCCCTACCACCCCCTACCACCCTCTACCATCCCCTACCACCTCCCTACCACCCCCTACACCCCTACCACCCCCTACCATCCCCTAATCCACCACCCCCTATCACCACACCCCCTACCACCCCCCTAAACCCCCCTACACCCACCCATATCCCCCTAACCACCCCCTACCATCCCCTACCACCCCCTACCACCCCCTACCACCCCTACCATCCCCTACCACCCCCTCACCACCCCCAACCACCCCCTACCATCCCCCTACCACCCCCTACCATCCCCTACCACCCCCTACCACCCCTACCATCCCCTACCACCCCCCTACCACCCCCATCACCACCCCCTACCACCCCCCTACCACCCCCAACCACCCCCTACCACCCCCACCCCCTACCACCCCCTACCACCCCAACCACCCCCAATACCACCCCCTACCATCCCCTACCACCCCCCTACCACCCCTACCACTCCAACCACCCCACTACCACCCCCCTACCACCCCCCACCCACCACCCCCTACCATCCCCCTACCATCCCCTACCACCCCCTACCACCCCACCACCCCTACCATCCCCTACCACCCCTCTACCCCACCATCCCCTACCACATCCCAACACCCACCCCCCAGCATCCCCTACCACACCCAAACACCACCCCCACCATCCCTACCACACCCCAACACCACCCCCAAAATCCCCTACCACGCCCAAAACACCACCCCCCACCATCCCCTACCACACCCCAACACCACCCCCCACATCCCCTACCACTCCCCGACACCACCCCCACCATCCCCTACCACTCCCTGACACCACCTCCCCCCCATCCCCTAGCACTCCCCAACACAACCCCAAACCCCATCACCTACCACCACCCACACCCAACACCCCACCATCCCCTACCACTCCCCAAACACCACCCCCACCATCCTCTACAATTCCCCGACACCACCCACCATCCCCTACCCACTCCCCAACACCACCCCCACCTTTCCCCACTACTCCCCGACAAAACTCCACCATCTACCACTCCCCGACACCAACCCCCACCACCCCTACCACTCCCCTGACAACCACCCCCCCACCACCCCTACCACCCCCCACACCAACCCCCACCATCCCCACTATTCCCCAAAACCACCCCCACCATCCCCTACCACTCCCCAGCACCACCCTCCACCATCCCTACACACCCAAAAAAACCCCCCAACCCCCTACCACACCCCACCACCCCCTACCACAACCCCAACACCACCCCCCACCATCCCCTACCACACCCAAACACCCCCCAACCCCCTACCACACCCCAACACCCCCCCCCACCATCCCCTACCACACCCAAACACCCCCCACCATCCCCTACCACACCCCAAAACCACCCCACCATCCCTACCAATCCAAAACACCACCCCACCACCCCCTACCACTCCCAGACACCACCCCACCATCCCCACCACTCCACCCTGACCCCACCCCACCATCCCCAACCACCCCCACCCCACCCAACCATCCCCTACCACTCCCCGACACCCACCCCCACCATCCCCACCACCCCAACACCACACCACCACCCCACCACACCCCCAACCCACCCCCACCATCCCGTACCACTCCCGACACTACACACCATCCCCCACCACCCCAACACCACCCCACCCCCAAAACCCAATCCCGACACCACCCCACCATCCCCTACCACCTCCCAACACCCCCAACCAACCCCTCCCACTCCCGACACCACCCCACCTCCCCAAACCCACTCCCCAACACCACACCACCATCCCCTACAACTCCCCAACACCACCCCACCATCCCCTACCACTCCCCCACACTACCCACCATCCCCTCCCCACTCCCAGCCCACCACCACACCATCCCCAAACCACCCCAACATCACCCCACCGTCCCCTACCACTCCCAGACACCCCCCACCATCCCTTACACTTTCAAACACCACCCCACCAATCACCTACAACTCCCCGACACCACCCCCCACCATCCCCTACCACTCCCGACACCACCCCACCATCCCCTACCACTCCCCACACCACCCCACCATCCCCTACCACTCCCTGACACCACCCCCCCATCCCTACCACTCCCCAACCCAACCCCACCACCCTACCACTCCCGACACCACCCCACCATCCCCTACCACTCCCCGACACCCACCCCCCATCCCCTTCCACTCCCCGACCCCACCCCACCATCCCCTACCACTCCCAGCACCACCCCACCATCCCCTACCACTCCCCGACACCACTCCCACCATCCCCCTCCCACTCCCTGACACCACCCAACCATCCCCTACCATTCCCCGACACCACCCCCACCATCCCCTATCACTCCCCGACACTACCCACCCATCCCCTACCACTTCCAGACACCACCCCACCATCCCCTACAACTCCCCGACACCACCCCCAACCATCCCCTACCACTCCCGACACCACCCCCACCATCCCCTACCACTCCCCGACACCACCCCACCATCCCCTACCACTCCTGACACCACCCACCATCCCCTACCACTCCCCGACACTACTCCACCATCCCCTACCACTCCCCAACACTACTCCGTCATCCCCTACCACTCCCCGACACTACTCCCCATCCCCTACCACTCCCCGACATTACTTCACCATCCCCTACCACTCCCGACACTACTCCACCATCCCCTACCACTCCCCGACACTACTTCACCATCCCCTACCACTCCCCGACACTACTCCACCATCCCCTACCACTCCCTGACACTACTCCACCATCCCCTACCACTCCCGGACACTACCCCACCATCCCCTACCACTCCCGGACACTACCCCACCATCCCCTACCACTCCCCAACACTACTCCACCATCCCCTACCACTCCCTGACACCACCTCACCATCCCATAGGTGTCCAGTGTTTCTCTGCTACAAGGCAGCTGTGTGTGTCAATTGTGTTATGATATTTTAATTACTATATCTTGTATCTGCCAAGCAATCATGACACCCAGTAGCCATAACAGTGTTGCTGAAAGTGCCATGAAGAGGTATAAGCTCTTAAGTCTTAGAATTAACCAAGATATTTAACAAGAGATAACCTGTAGCCGTAATGAAGAGTTACTTTGTACACAGAAAAAGAAGTTAACATGAGTTTGTGTGACTGACTGAATGACTGACTTACTGAATGACTGACTTACTGAATGACTGACCGACTGAACTGACTTGACTGACTTACTGACTTGACTGACTTACTGAGTGACCTGACTGACTTCCTGACTGACTTGATTGACTTACTGAGTGACTTGACTGTAATAATATTATATTATTATTGCTGAGAAGAAAAAGAGAATGATTTCCATGGAATTAAAGCATGAAATCATAGATAAACAAGTGAGGTGTCCAGGTTTTGGGTTTAGGGGGAAGAGGGAGGGGGGAGCTGGCTCGTAACTCAGAGCAAAAAATCAACGCAGGGACGGCTCATATCTCAAAAAGCTCGTAAGTTGGGACACTCCTAAGTCAAGGTTCCACTGTATTTATAGGTCTCAGCAATGTTTTAGACATGCTGGAGTATATATGAAGCTCTTTGAAGCATGGTGTAAGACTGAGTGTCACTTTACTGCTGATAGTGCAGCAGTGACATTTGCTGATCGTGCACTGTCTTGGCTTTGTTTGTTTTCACTGATACATATAAACATATCTATCTATTTGTCTGTTTGTCTATCTGTCTCTGCTTATCTGTCCATCTGTGTGTCTACTTGTCTCTCTTTCTGTCTCAGAGAGCCACTCATGAACTAACAGGTATTGTACATGATGCAGAGTCGTCGCGTCTGGTTCCTGAACATTCTGGCAGGATGACACTACTAGTGGCATCAAAACTGAAAGTATGTGGCACAAATGTTGCACATTGGTTATTACAGAGGTTTTTGATATTTCCTCAATCACTTGTGGCCACATCCATCTCAAAGCCACTAAACTCGGGGTCAACATCACTTTCTTCTTAAAAGGGGAGTGTTAATAAGACATGACATCAATGAATCCCTGGTGTTTGCCACACTCTTTGCTCTAGCTGGCACTCAACTGAACTGGTGCTCCCACAAAGTACTAAGTGGTCCCAGGTTTTTTTAATACTGCACACACCGAATGTTAAGACCCATTTTATACTGACCAGGCATCTCATGCAAATCATCCCAAATTTGGAGGCAGGAAAAATAAAACACTGATCTACATTTGGAGCACTAGCGGAAAAAAACGTAGATCTACGTTCGGACAGTTAACAGGTTAAAATGGCTCGACCATCTCCAAACAAAGAAATGACACTTTATTTTTTCAGAATGCAAAATAGTACATCCTACTGAAAATGCATTGGAAAATATCACACTGTATAAGGGAATTAATGTACAGTATGCCAAAGTCTCAACATTATGATATATTCATCACTTGTACCTGACCTGCCGGGCTGTGGCTCGTACGTTGGATTGTGTGAAGCCAGCAGTAACAGTCCGGTTGATCACGCTGTGATCCACCATGAGGCCTGGTCTGTGACCAGGCCGCAGGGGTGTTGACCCCCGGAACTCTCTCCAGGTAAACTCCAGGTAGTTTAAGGATCAGTGGATGAAGTCAGTAACTGAATGAGTGACTGCATATCTTGGAACCTTCATAAGCTATAGGCTTTCCAGTCCCCCTATAATTAATAGCATAAAAATAATGTGCTCACCTCTGACACAAACAAGTTGTGCCATGTGCCCGTCATGAACTTCCGAATAAAGATGTCGTCCACTACTGTTTCTGGCTCGCGTAATCCTTCATACAAGCTTGCTGTTACAATATCATAAAAAAGCATTAAAATAATTAAAAAAAATTATATAACAGGTAATAACTCAGCACTGTACTTTTTTTTTTTTTTTTTTTTACCTTAACAGCCATCTCCTGCCAAGGCAAAGTGATCCAAAGAAGGAAACACATTCATCATCATTCATTCAATCACTGTCACTGAAACTTTGAGCTGGAAACAAAACACGTATATTGCCTTTAATATACAAGAAAGCTTTTCACATGTGTTATCTCCAATTATTACAGCATTGTTCAATAAATCAACTGAAGCCAAAATATTATGACATACATAACCCTTTAAGGGTTGGAACCCCTTGCTCTCAAACTTGCTCTCAGGGTCAAAAAATTTAAATAAAATAAATTTCTTCTTATTAAATGGTAGAGAATCTTTTTCTGAATGTAGTAAAACAAAAAGTACCAAATTTGATGGAAAAACTGACAAAATTATGCTTTTGCGAATTTTGCTGTGTCAGTAATATTTACATGCTTATAATTTTTCCGACTTTGAGTTTGATTTTAGGCCAATTACATTATTTCAGTCAACCAAATTCTTAGCTATTTTGCTAGGATGGCTTCCATTCTATCAATTGAGTGCAAGAAACCACCCATTCAATTATTTTAACTACCCATAAAAGTTATAAGAAATTAGTAATTTGGCCAATTTCACACAAAATTCTAGAAATGCCAATTTCAAAATTGAATCCAGAATAAACAATGCAGTTACGTCCCCAGGCCTCTCCAATATTACACGTGAATTCCAATTAGAATTTTTATGCACACAAAAAACAGAAAATTTGCTGTTAAGCAAACTAATATATTATAATAATTGTATAAATAATGTCACTGCATTCCTAAAAGCATATTAAACTAGGCAGATGGACACATATTGGACAAGTGATGTCATTTGTGTACTCTGGAATATTGGCAAAAACTGAACATTTCCTCTACTTTGAGCTCAATTTCAAGCATCTTTTAGTCCTGAAACCAATCAAAATCATCTCTACTTCGGTAATAAATCTCCTGTTCTATCAAATGAGACTAAGAAACCGAGAATGCAACCATAAAAACCATATGAAAATACGTACACTAAAGTCACAGTATTTCCCCCATTACGCACTGCTTGCTGCAGGATTTTTTTATATGGTGCAAACTTACCACATAGATCTATTCTCTCATATCTGGGCCCAAATTTACTGCTCACAGCTTATCTGAGTGAGCTGAGCTCATGGTATAGAACTACGGGACCGGGATTGACCCAGGCTTCAAACACCTCTTATTGTACAGCAATAAAGGAATGGAACAGACTGCCTGCACATGTCAAAGCCAGTCATAGCATGAACCAGTTCAAGAAGAGAGCCAAAAGGTGCCTAATGAATGTAGCTACAGAAAGGAAGAAAAATTATTTTTTATTTTTTTAGCCAACACTCACGTAAATGTAAATACAGTGGACCCCCGCCATTCAGTGGCCGCGACCTTCGTGAAATCTGACTTTTGGCAAGTTTTTCCGGCAAAATTTAGCTTCGCGGTTCATCACTGGACTCGTGATTCGGCGACCATCTGGTACGCATCCGCCCGTCAGCGCGCACACAAAGTCAATCTCCCACACCATTCACACTCAGTGTGCCATTGTTTACCCTTGCATGACCATCACCCCACGGGTTCATACAATACATTTCATAATAATTCATTATTTTTTGGGGCTTGCGACTGCTAAATAAGTCACCATGGGCCCAAGGAAAGCTAGTGCCAGCACTTTGGTAAGGAAAGTGAGGAACATGATCGAATTCAAGAAAGAAATCATTGAAATACTATATGAGAGTGGAGTGCGTGTTACAGAGCTTGCCAGAATAAATGGCAAACCCCATTCAACCATTACTTTGATATTGGTGAAGGGAAAGGAAATAAAGTATGCTGTTGTTGCAAAAGGGGTAGATATGCTGACAAAAAAGAGATTGCAAACCCTCAAAGAAGTGGAAAGGTTATTGTTGGTGTGGATTACCCAAAAATAGTTAACAGGAGATAGTGTTATGCAGTCGATAATATGTGAAAAGGCAAGGCAGTTGCACGACCATCTCGTAAAGAAAATGCCTTCAACGATTGGTGATGCTTGTGATTTTAAGGCCAGTAAAGGTTGGTTTGAGAGATTTAAGAAGCGTAGTGGCATACACAGTGTGGTAAGGCATGGTGAGGCTGCCAGTTCTGAAAAAAAGCAGCTGAGAAATTTGTACATAGACACTGAAGAATTCCAACCTCAACAAGTGTTCAATTGTAACGTAACAGACCTCTTTTGGAAGAAAATGCCAAAGAGGACCTACATCACGTAGGAGGAAATGCACTTCCAGGACACAAGCCTATGAAAGACAGGCTAACTCTCACATTTTGTAGTAATGCTAGTGGGGATTGCAAGGTGAAGCCTTTACTGGAGTATTACTCTGAAAATCCCAGAATGTTCAAGAAAAACAGTGTTGCAAAGAGTAATTTGTGTGCGATGTGGAAAGCTGACAGTAAGGCATTGGTCACAAGGGAAATTTTCCTTCATTGGTTTAATGAAGTGTTTGGCCCAAGTGTGAAGAAATACCTCCTGGAAAATAAATTGCCACTCAAAGTGCCTCCTGGTAATGGACAATGCTCCTGGTCATCCTCCAGACTTGGAAGAGCAAATGGTGGAGGAGTCTAGTTTCATCACAGTGAAGTTCTTGTCCCCTAATACAACTCCTCTCCTCCAGCCCATGGACAAGCAGGTCATTTCAAACTTCAAAAAACTGTACTTCAAAAGTGCTTTGAAGTGACCTCAGACATTGAACTGACCCTAAGAGAGTTCTGGAAAAATCACTTCAATATCCTCACTTGCATAAACCTTACATGTAAGGCTTGGAAGGGAGTGACTTGCAGAACTCTGACCTCTGCTTGGAGAAAATTGTGGCCACAGTGTGTACAAGAGAGGGATTTTGAAGGGTTTGGGGCTCACCCTAAAGAGCCTATGCCAGTTGTGGAAAGTATTGTGTCACTGGGGAATTCCATGGGGTTGGATGTGAGTTTTGAGGATGTGGAAGAGTTGGTGGAGGACCACGATGAAGAGCTAACCACTGCAGAGTTGCAAGAGCTTCATCTGCAACAGCAAGAGACCACAGCTCAGAAAATTGCTGCAGAGGAGGAGGAAGAGAGATGGAGGAAGGTGCCTTCTTCAAAGACTAAGGACATTTGTGCAAAGTGGACATAAGTGCAATTATTTATGGATGAACTTCACCCTGACAAAGCTGTTGCAGGCCGTGTTGGCAACATGTACAATGACAGTGTTGTGTCCCACTTCAGACAAATCTTAAAGAAATGCCAGAAACAGAACTCTCTGAACAGATATTTTGTGCGACAGGGGTCCAGCGACTCTCAAGTTGTTCCCAGTGTCATTAAAAAACAAAGAAGGGAAGTAACCTCAGATAAGAACTTGGTACCTGAAGTCTTTATGGAAGATGATTCCCCTTCCAAACAATAGTGTACACCTTCCTCCTATCAACTCCTCCCGTCTTCCATCTACCCAGTAGCCTTCAGTAAAGGTAAGTGTAATGTTATTGTTATTTTATATATGTATGTACTTGATTTCTCATTGTTTTCAGTATGTAAATTTTTATTTAATTTGAATTTTTTTTTTAATATTTTTGGGTGTCTGGGAAAGATTAATTTTATTTCCATTATTTCTTATGGGGAAAACGGTTTTGCCATTCGGCAATTTCGTCATTCAGCAGATTCTCTGGAACGGATTAATCACGAAACTCGGGGGTCCACTGTAACTCTTTTTACCTTATTCCTAGTATATATCCTTTATAGTACAATAATAAGATATTATATCCTTTATAGTGTAACAATAATGTATTAAAAGGACCCCAATGGAAGTCACTCTAACTGACTTTTTGGGTTTATCCTAGGTTCTCTACACATATGCTGCTATGTATGATAATCTATGAAATTGTATTTATGTATACAGTAGGGCCCCGCTTTACGGCATTTCGCTTTACAGCATTCCACTAATACGGTCATTTCAAATTATGACCAAAACTCGCTATACAGCTCCCCCACCTGACTTTCTAATACAGTCAATGCGCCCCCCACCTGGTTTGCTTACATTCTCTGTGAGATCCGTAAGCACCAAGTCTCTCCATTATGTCTGGAAACTCCAAAATTTCAAGTGTTTTTTAAAAGTTATTTCATATTTTATATATACTCTGATAATTATACTTATGTATACCTGTACCTAAATAAACTTACATACTGTGCTGGCAGGCAGGTACACATTAAAATCAGTAAGTGTGTCTTATATCTCGAGACATCATATTAGTAATGATAATAATAATCACTGAGTCTCATTTAAATGTCATATATTACGTTAATATACACATTTTCATTAATCTATGATATTTTTTCAAAATTATATAATAAACACGATGCATAACATATAAAGATGATAAATACACCCCACAGTAGAATAAATAAACATAAATATGAAATGTGGTAGCCAGACGACTTGCACAAATGACGCCATATTAGAAATAATAATAATAGTAATCACCGAGTCTCATTAAATGTCGTATATTACGTTAATATACACATTTTCATTAATCCAGCCATGATATTTTTTTTCAAAATTATATAATAAACACGATACATAACATATAAAGATGATAAATACACCCCACAATAGAATAAATAAATATAAATACGAGATGTCGTAGCCAGATAACTTGTCCAAGTGAAGGCAAGAATAACATTTTCTCTAGTCTAACATAAGAGAAAATGTGTTACTGGGGGTAACTGTAGAAAATTATTCCTTTCGTATGTAAGTAAGTTTATTCAGGTATACACAAATACAGTTACATAGATAATCATACATAACAGCCTATGTGTAGAGAACCTAGGATAACCCAAAAAAGTCAGAGTGACTTATTTCCACTGCCTTCATTCAGAGCATCATTTCTTCTAAAAATGGTGTTACA